CAGTTAGACTCCATTCTATCAATAATTTCTATGTGACTAAATCTAACCAAGACTATGACCTAACTCAGGTAATCATTACTGTCAGTGACCAGACAGACATTCGAAAGTTCTGCAGTTGTTCCTCACTTTTGATCATTATCCAAATCCCTCAAAGATTCATGTACATTTTCTTCCCCCCAGGATTGCTTATAGGGTAAAGATCCACAAAAATTGCGTCCCCAATCTCGTTATTCATTCACCCAATCATCAACTCTCTCCTGGTAATCAGGTTACCACTTTCGAGGGAGCCGGTTGCTCGAGCGTCCTCGACTTCGACGAGGGTGAATCGGTTCATTGTGCAATCGATCCTGATCAACGACGACCGTTTCTGAACAATCAGTCCTGAAGAACCCATCGAAGGTCCTCCTGGTCCACGAGTTTTCCGTCGTTTTTGCTCCAGACCTCGACAAAGACGTGATTACGCTCGAGTTTTTCAGTCGTTTTTCTCTCGCGTTGCCCTGTCCCTACAAACAGGTTACGATTGTCCCACTAATTTATCATTTTCCTGATCGTTCGATTAAGACTGACCTATTCTTTTTCCACGGGAAAGGTGTCTCTGCCTTCGCTGATGAGATCTTGAGAAACTCCTTACAGCCACGGCAAGAGCTAAGAAGCCCAGAAAGTCTGAAGAGATTCTGAATTCTAATGAAATTTTCAATGCTTCAGTTCGCTTCAAACGAAGATTAATGGAAGCTATCGACCCTTCCCTTCGGAAAACAGTTTTAATCCCGCTGTTTCATAACTACTCCCTGCTCCCTCGAACAGCCTGTACAAAATTTTTAATTTATACCGTTTCCGCGGAATTCCGGAATCAGTTGCGCGAAACCGTTGAATCCTTAACTTCCTCAGGAAAGCCTCGAGGACTACCCCGATCGGGTTAAAATTCAAGCAGCCTCTGCACAATAGGTAGCTCGATTGTTACAATTCAGTTAACTTTAAGAAGCTCAAGTTTTCCGGGCGGATAAAATATACACGTCTATTCCAAAAATTCACTGAACAACCAAAGGCAGAAAGGCTGATAGAGACCAGGATTACTTTGCCTGACTATAAGACAATACGGTTTAGCTCATCCTGTACCCCTATGCACTGAGATTAATAATTGGTTGTAGTCTTGACAGATGGTATATACATAGACTGTACCATCTATGAAACTGTCATTCATCTCGTAGGTGTTGTAGAGAGCAAGAAAGTTCTCAGGGGTGCTAAGTTGGACTGAGAATAACTTAGCACAGGTGACAGCTTCCTCACTCCCTTTAACATCTATGAGCAAAATGACAGACCATAGTCTACAACACAATCGATGAAACTGACATTCTTCTTGTAGGTACTAAAGAGAACAAAAAAGCTGTCACCAGTGCTAAGTTATTCTCAGTCCAACTTAGCACCCCTGAGAACTTCCTTGCTCCCTTTAACATCAACAAGTAGAATGACAGTTTCACCAACACTAAAATCTCCATACCACCTATCAGGACTAGAATCGATTATTAATCTCAGCGTCGGGGTATCCACGACGAGCAAAACCGTATTGTCTCACATCCAGGCAAGGAGTCATCACAGAGTTAGATCCCCGAAGCTGAAGCGACGAAAAACCAGGCCAGGGGAAAAAAAGACTCGCGAAAGAGGTGAAGCTGAACGAAACAGGGTTAGTAAAGACATGATCCTCGAACGTCGGGGTGGGATGGTGTGGCGAACGTGGGCGGTGGGATGAACGAAAGGTTGGCGGGGGGAGGGGGAAGCACCGCGAGCAGCGTAGAGCCACGGAGAGAGAGAGAGAAGCTTCGGTGTCCCTCTGTAGCGCGCAGACTCGACGCGACTCGTGGAGATTCGCGGCTCGTCGGCGTGCTCTCGCTCGGGATTGGCGACGTACGCGTCGCCGGGGCGCGAGGAGCAGGGGCTCTGACGTTTGAAAGCCGCGTATACGCCGCGACACGACCCGGCTGCGGCGACGGTGGCGGTGGAGGCCTACGCGGCCGCCCGCGAGAGAGACGCTCCTCAGTTGTGTCAAGCTAGGCGATCGAGTAGGACGCTCTTTAATCGTTCCCACCTCCGAGTTACTCTCTCACGTACACACACACCACACGTACACATCCCACACACACACCCACCACCACCACTACCACCAACCACTCTCTCCTTCTCTCTTTCACCTCCATTCGAATTGGTCCACCGCGTAGCTCGCTGTTTCTTTGCCCAGTACCGGTACACACGTGCACACAGACAGACAGACACACGCGGCCGCGCTGTTTTCCCTCTCCAACCCCCAGCTTCGAGATATCTCTAAGTGATCCCTTCTACACACTCACTGTCACTCCTGTGCCCCGTCTAATCGCGTTGCCGATCCACACACCACGTTCAACCGCGCGCCCGATAGTCCGGAATACTCGGCTGAACCTCTTTTAATATCGACGGCACGAAACTTCGTACCCTCCCCCGAAGCAAGAGGAACCATCTGGGGTGTCGAGGAGATGCGTAGAGGTGAAAACGCTTGAAATATTCCTGCGAACCACGCGCGAGGACATCCACACGTGTGATATTTACTCTACTTGGGAGTCTGCAAGGCTCTGAAGTCCGAGCTAATTGGGGAGAGACAGAGCCGAACGCCGTCTTAGCCACGCACATGCATGCACAGGGGCTCTTTTTGATCACAGTCTGATTGTCCCACTCCTGTCCGACCGTGTGTGTGTGTCTGTGTGTGTCGAACGCGCGGGAGTCGTCTGTCCTCGCGCGGCAGTGAGAGAACCAGTTGGCTACCATCGAGAGAGCTTGCTGCTTTTGCCCTGAACTCGGACGGACGGGTTCAAGGTCAACCCCCATCGTCACCGTCGTCGTGGTCGTTGTTCTTACGCTCGCACAGAGTGTTGGGGACAGTTCTCTGATAGAAGTTGACTGGCGAAAGAACCGAGTGGAAGAGAAAGAGGGATCCAGAGCAGGAGGATCTTAAAGCAGATCGCTGAAGAAGGGTCGGTGGAAAGAGAGAGGGAGAGAGAAAAAGAGAGAGAGGGTCCCGTCGAGTGAGGACGCGAGGCCGATTCCAGGAGTCTCGGAGATTTATATTTTTGTCGTGCGCGCGTGGCGGGTCGCGTCTCGTCGTGTGAAACACACTAACAGAGAGATTGAGCGAGAGGGAGGGGAAAGGGTGACCACAATTCGTAGTCGTGCGGACGTTAGATGATCTATATATCCGAGGGTACCAAAGCCGGAGAGACTGAGCGATCACACTGAGCGTAGATGCGATTATAAATAAGGTAGACACGTAAGGAGAAAACAAAAAAAAAATCACGTTCGTGAAAGGCAACAGACGCAGCGGGGTTAGGCTTTGGCCCCCCGGTGTCGCCTAATTTTAATCCAATTATTAGACGTAAAACGGAAGTTCTCGTAAGTAAACTAGGATATTAACGCGTATATAAGTATATAGGAGATGGTCGCGCGTGAATCATGAGCGACTGATCGATTTAAAAAGAGAATCGCGTCAAGACAATCAAGCACAGTAGTAGAGGATTGGGCATAAATCGAAGAAAAAACGAGAGGTGTGAGGGTAGCTCGCGAGAAGGGTTTTCTTTTGCCCACTCCCTCCTTCCCTCCTCCCCCTCGCGTCTGAGAAGAAGCGAGCCCGGAAAAAAATAAAAATAAAAAACAAATCAAGTTTCGTGTCTCTTCATGTGATCTCCAGCCTCTGTACCAGAATCTACGTGTGTCTGAATACATACGGTCTCTATATACCTATAAACATAGATATATGTATATATACACCTCTATACATATATATTTACATACGACATATTATATATATACATATATATATTTACATTTATATATATATATACATACGTTTATATGTATACACTCCTCGCACATATCCGATCGTTCGGGCTACGACATCGCTGATTTTTTTCACCCCCGCTAAATGATCAGCCGTACAAAGCGGCAGTACAACGAGAGCGGAACAGACAAAAAAAAAAATACAAGAAACCGCTGCCTCGTTGACGGAAAGGAAGAGAGACAGAGAGGTCTAGCCCGATCGTATTCTTCCCTGTGCCTCGCTTCGAGGGGCGTTCTCTTGTCAATCTTCGTGACAATCATTTTCAGCTAGGCTCCCGGTAGCGTGTATATCTCGACTAAGGTGTATCTCTTTTTAATCGCGGCGAAAATTTCCTCGACGTGGCCGGCGCCGATACGCGTTTAAAGCGGACCCGGCTGGTCGATTCTCGAGAGAAGGATAAGGGATTTTGGAAGAAAGAAAGTGAGAGAAGTAATATCACGTACCTACGACGTTTCAATTAACGTACGAGCGAGCTTTTCGCGCAACCCGACGAAGAC